TATTATCATCATTTTTTTCTTCAGCATCTGGCTACGATGTTAATCAATTCCTTTGACTAAAAAGATAAACCCTAAAACTGGCTATATGCAAGGAAGTATAGGCTATGAGTTATCTAAAACATTAAAATAACATTAAAATTAGCTTTAATACAAACATTAAGGAATGCTATGACATGAATATTCCACATATCAAATAAGTGTACGCTCTATGTGAAAAGATACCAGCTTTTGCAAGAAAATACTAATTTGATATAACATTGTATATTTTTACTTCTTAGTGAGAGTTGAGATATGCTGTCGTATTGGCAACTAGCTATATCATGGGTATCTAATATCTCAGAATGTTTCATTCAAAAGTAATGGTGTATTAACATAGTGCTATAGGATAACTAAATCATGTCAGATCTTCTTCAGATTTAGAGTTTCTAGATTAATTATTACATTTGGAACGCCGAACCAATGTTTGTAACGAGAGCTAATCAGTGAGTGGCTGCGTTAAGTTAGATTAGAGGCTATTATTGCTATTTGCTACAGCTACTAAATTGATCGGAAAATTTTAATTACAAAGTTATAAATAATTTTATAGATGACAAAAATTAGACTTGATCCTATATTGCTTTGCAATACTACTGAAGCTAAAATATGCCATTCTTGTAAAATTTGGATGTAATTTTTTAGTTTCTAATGTATCATCTCATTTTTTAATATAATTGAGTGTCTCATAATTAATATAAACGTAGTTATTATACTGTACATGATCGAAGCACGTAAAGGATGTCATTTAATGTGTATATTTTGGTATTTATATGACTATTCTTCTCTCGCTGATCTAACACATTTATTATAGCCATCATTGATCTAAATCTTTATCGATTTAAAGAATATAGCGTGCTATCAGCTTTATAACTTGAATATAATTCTAAGTGCATAATTCTAAGTGCGCAATTTTATCAGCTTTTATAATCCATATAGACTTCTAGTCAAGTATATGAAGCATTATACTGATATTACTCGATCTGATGACATCTTAAATAGTAGAATTTCGCAGCAGGAACAACGATAGCTATACGACAGTTGTTGTAGCAGTAACTGAAATTGATAGTTTATCGATCTCCCATTGAAAAAGGAAAGTAAATAAAATATTATTCAAGCCTAGCTAATCTTATAACATATGCTCAGGCATCATGTTAAGATTGCTCGATGTAGTAATGAGATATAATTATGGCTCTTTGATGCTTAAAATACCTTAAGAACATTGAATATGAATATATTTGCTCTCTTGTTCCACAGATCTTGTTAGTTTCCTTTATAATCAAAAATAAATTTATGCTGACGTATTATACTAAAATACATTGTTATTAACTTTGTAACTTAGTAAATTATCATTTTCAAGGATTTATAATCTACCACTATTCAATTTCGTAAGCATCTTTAGAATGATAACATTGAAACTGTTAAATCATTTTGAAGCCTAACTGTTTTAACCGTCTTACTAAGCTGTACAGTAGATTGGCGCAATGATACGCGAGATTGCATTAGTCATTCTGTTTGCTTATAACCAGCAATGATTCTAGTAATTATCATGGTCATGAAAACTATATTATTTGAACGCTTGGCCACGGAGCTTTATCACTTAATTAATATTTTTCTCATAACAAACATAGTGATGTAATAAGGTACGGCATATCAGTATTATATAAAAGTTTACTCAATAAAGATTAAATAAATGTTTAATATGACAATTATTTGATGCAAGAAAAACTTTTATGTGGCATGGATTCCAATGGTATTCGACAATTTTAAAAGCTGATTAATCAAGCAAACTAAATATTGGAGCCTGTACAATAAAAGAAATCTTGCCCAATACAGTCGATAAATTGGATGAAAAAGTTATTTCAGAAGTCATTTTCTATTATTAAAGAAGGTAATTTGAGCATTTCCATTCGCTATTGCCAAATCAGAATCATGAAAGAATTTCATTCCGTATGTTGCATCTCCTTTAATTAGATTATGGTAATCGACAGCGAATTAGATGTCATCTACTGGAATCGATTGCTAGTAAGTACAGTAAGCAGATAGGTTGAGTTTAAACAAAGTTATTATAAGATTGTGTAGATTAATTGTAATTATTGTCTGATCATTTATTGTTATAAAGGTGATTATCATGATTGGAAGGCTTTGAAAGATTAGATTTTTTTAATCAATTCAAAATCAATGCTATAAACATCTGGCTTCACCTCCCCTCCCTGTCTATAATAAAGTAATTATTGTTGTTGTTGATGTTATTAATGGTTGTCCGTTTGATGTTGACAAATGTAATTAAAAAATAGAAGCTTTTTTTATCTTGACACATCTTTTTTGATTTAGATTCAATGCTCCGAGGGAAGTTTGTATATTGCATCAGCTGTGCGGTTATAACAAAAGATTTGTTGCTAACTTCATTATAATATTTTTTTCATGCATAGGCGTTGATTGGAAACACGTGTCAAGGATATTAATGGTTATTGTGTACAATACAACATACGCCATGATTCAAAACTAGCATATATAAAGCTTGACCTGGGCTCATTTGCACTCATCATTCTCTTGATGCGATCATTTAATCAACTGATAGTGAATAACATAAACTATTACGTCTAAGTTTTGGCCTTGCAGTGATTCTGAAAACTCTGGTCATTTTTCTCCTTCTTCGAATTGAGTTATTCCAACTCATTAGTTGATCATTGATTAATCTTTCAAACGTATACGGTTAAACACCATTGGAAAGGAAATTAGCAATTATTAATTAAGAATTTATCCACTTCTCAATTTACTCTACCAAAGTTATCACTTGGTAATCGCTATACGGTATGATAAGTATTCATATTTGATAAATTCTTTAACAAGATGAAGAAAAAGGCGTTTAATCAATCGTTTTTTCAATTTTTTTATATCTACAGATCTTGTCAAGTTCAAGCATTATAACTTAAAATTATCGAATCATTTTTACAACGTAAAATCTAGCTATCGAAAATGTTCCACAATCTAGCTGTCCCGACTCCATTTTATCATCATCCAGCCATATTTCATCCTCATTTGGCTCCATATCTACCACCACAACCGCAAGCCAACAATGTTCAAGGACTAATTTATAAATCGCAAGGACAAATGGATGGAAGCAATCACTGCATAGCAACAGCTGCCAACCACAATTCGAATAATATTGCTACTGCTGTCGCTGCTGCCGCTGCTGCTAATGTAGGTAATCAAATTGGTAGTAATGCAAGTGAGAATAACGCTTTAAAATTTGGCGTTAATGCTATTCTCTCCAGTCGTCTCAATCCAACTGGATTAGTGTGTAAGTAATCAAAGTCAAATTATTTAGTTCTTTAAATTAATAAAAATTTAAGTGCACGATATAAGATGAAATGCAAGCGATCACGTATTAACTATAATAAATAACCTTATCATCCTATCATTAAACTCGAACTACTTTCTGATCAACACGTAGTATTGTAGCAATAACCCAGCTACCTAGAGCGTAATTTCGTTCTTGATTGGCATCAATTTGATAACTATTATTTAGATATAAAATAATTGTAGTTAGAGTACGATATCCCCTTAATCAACTAACAATAACACACTATATCACGATAAATCTTTCAATTCAAATTGAATTTCCTACCGTTGACCTTAATTTTAACTTTTTTTGTTTTGGACTTATAACAACTATACCTCAAAAAGATCCTCCATTGAATTCCAATGACAAATCATTCTATCCACCCAACAGAACACTCTTAGCTGGCGTTACATCGCAATATCCTTATAATATTAAAGGACTAACAGGTAAGATCTTCATAGATCTTAGTAACTGTTCCTCTTATATATCACCATTATTATCAATAAGAAGAATAACAACAATAATAAACATTTTATTGTCTACTGACGGCATGGTGCCAACCAATTGGCACAAAGACTTTAACACACAAATAACATTTGATTAAATGTAACCGTATAATTGAAATGATTATATAATTATAGTATCGGTTTTTGCATTTTCATTATTATTTTGCATTATTCTTCCTTTAGAGGATTAACTACTTTTCCTATTTTTAATGATTTTAAAGCCAAGCTTAGAAGCTTTTTTTCTTTTATTACTGTATCATGTGTTGATGCCACTAATGTTGCCAGATGCAGTACATAGTTGAAGGGGATGATGACATTATCGATAAAATCCTCCTCTTCCTTTAAATGCCATCAGTGACTAGCATGATTCAGTTTGATGACGCGAGCACATTGTGCCATAAACGAAAAAGAACGCTTCTCGCTTTATGATAAAAGAACTTTAAACTTAAAGTTTCTTTGTTCCTGTATAAAGTTGATGTATTTATCATTAAGTAATTAAAATGAGTGGTATCAACTATCTATCAACGTATAAAGCGACTTCTTAAGTGAATGAACGAAATAACAAATTTATTTTATTGTGGAAGATATGTAGAGATTATTTATTATTGATAAATTATTTCATAATTATATTATTATTTTACTGTTGACGATGTTGTTTGCCTTCTACTTTAAAGCGATAAAGATTAATTTCTTGTACTTAATTATGATGACTGTTTACAATGGAAAGATAGAATAATACCTTAAACTGTAATCGGTGGTAAATTGATAATGAAATAGTAGTTTAATCTTTCATATTAAATAAGTATAATTTTAATTGTTGTCAAAATAACAAGACAGGAATAGAGATCTCGCATACAGTGTTCTAGAAATTTAGAACAATTGATCCATTATTACAATAGTATGTTAACGACGCTCGTTACAAATCACGTTACAGAAGAAAAATTTACTAATTAGTAACTGACAGTTAATGCTATTACAATCTTACTAATGCGAACAGATTTATTAACAATCATTAAACAGAGAACAATTAATTGTTATTGCATATAGGATCAGCTCCATATTCTTCATACTCTTGGCCGATTACTCCACATGATGGCAGTAAGCAAAAAAGAACCATGCTAAGAAGAGCAGTTTTTACCGAGCAACAACGCAAAGGACTCGAGAAGCGATTTCAAGTTCAAAAATATATTTCGAAATCAGAGAGAAGGAAGCTCGCTACCAAGTTAAATCTGAAAGATTCTCAAGTTAAAATTTGGTTTCAGGTAATTAAAATACATATTATAGCCGCAGTATAACGCGCTAACGGTTGAATTCTATATTAATGTTTTCAGTAATAAGTTTGATAAGCTTAATAACTCCTATGCTTGAATGGTGCCCATGTCGTGATCGATACAATGTACACCGATCATAGTCTACGAAATATAATATTTAATGACATACTGTATGATCTTTCATCATGATATAATTAGTGCTGGGCCAACACTTTATAGCAACTATGAATGAAACGATAATTAATATTATGCGACTAATTGATAGTTCATCAGATTTGATATCTTGAAGAAAGTTTGTCTCCGTAAAGTGTTATCTTTTCTATTAACATTAATGATCAAGTTATTGATTAAGTAGCATTAATAAACGATGCTACTAAATAAATGGATAAAGCTGTTATTGTCAGTAGTTTCCGGACATTCTTAACTATTAGAGAAAGTCCATTGAAAATTTTAGAATTCTGTTGTAAAGTACTAATTAAAATTAGAGTAATAAATATTGAATATGGCTATAGTTTAGCTTGATTATATTCATTAGCTAATCTATTCTATTTTTGGATCATACAGAATCGCAGGATGAAATGGCGAAACTGCAAAGAAAGAGAAAAATCAATAATTTTAACAGATGATGGTAAAGCGGAACAATATACAAGCGACGATGACGATGATGATAGTTGCTACGAAATGAAGCCTACAAGTGAAGATGAAACTTTTAACACAACTGGCAATAAGTCGGATCAGAGCGAAAGATCCAGCATAGGGGATGTTGACGACGTATAATTAATCAATGCCCTCGTTGTCGTAAGATTTTCACGCGATCTGACAATAGTGACAACAGCAGGGATGATGTTACCAATAATTTATAATGATAATCGTGCATTTAGGTTATGTATTGTACAGTGATGAGGAACAAGAGATCGTTGTTCAAACGACTTTCAAAATTGTTCCTATTAAATAATTATGACGCTATACTTATTGGTACAGCTGTAGTATTGTCATTACTCTTTCGTTTGAGTGTTCAACATAGTGTTGTAAGAATAGTATAATAATATCAAGGTAACAACTTAATTCCATGATAAGAGTCTAAAGTTTTATTAATTAATTAATTCAATTAATAAGGCTTTTGGTAACATTTAGATTGCAGCATTATCTCATTTAGCTGATTTTTCTGGTAACATGATGACAGTTGATTTACTCACATTTCGACGATGCACAAAATTGTTAGATCATAATACTAAGTGATCGAGGTTTTAAGAAGCAACAATGTTAAAAATTGAAAGTTTTCATGGACCAACTTTGCGCTATCAATTACTGGGTAAGCCTTTCATGTTGATATACTGATAATTAAGCAGCAGATGGGCCTACTGATTTTTAAATGAGCATCACTGGAAGCTACTGAAAAATACATATAAATGAGCTCCTTATTTCAACGTAACTACTGTATTCTTGTCTCCTATGGGTGATATGTACGTAACACTTACGTCAGAAATAGCTGTATTTATAGCTCTATTAATCAAAGCTGTAATTAATGTATTGCAATTTTAGTAATTGTTGTTATAAGTTCTATTAATAGTAACTCTTCATATTGTTTTCCGGCTACTGTTGCATCGCCCTGTTGGAATTAATGTATTAGCGGAAGAGATAGCAAGTAGGAAACATCTTTAACGTCAATAGTCCAAAGTACTATTATCAATATTTTTGGCGTCATCGTTTAATAAGCCAATTATGACAATCTAATTATCATTATTTATTTAGAATTACTAATGTCTTATATCGTTTGTGTCAAATTTGTATAACTAATAACGTTTTGTTAGCAATATCTAAAGTATAATTTTAAGTAGATTATCTGCAAATTTACTACGCACACCTACGTGCTGATTCTTAACGCAGCTAAAAATCGAGCATTCATTCATTGATTAATTAATAATCCTATCATCATCGTTTATCATATAATTACACTATATGGACGTGGTATATTATTAACAATTTTAGTATATCATGTAATTGCAAAACTATATATTCTAATATATTTATATAAATATGTGTCTGTATATATGATGTATACGTATATCTATATGCACGTATATGTAATGTGTAGTGTATGTGTATATGCGTGTATGTATGCAGAAGGAATTGCAATCAAAATCTCTGTAACATGGCGTAAAATGGTAATAATAATTTAATCAGTGTTCATATTATTGCTGAAAACAATCATAGGTATGGAGACTTGAATCAATAAAGCAAAATTATGATTGCCGTAAAAGACCGTTGTAAATATAATTGAAAATGGACCTTTAGTAAAGACGAATTACTGTCTTTGTAAGTTTCAGGAGTACCATTTTAGTGGCGATATAGTTTTACATTTTACATTAAGTAATACTGCCCATTGCACAATACCATACATTTAAACAAGCAGCACTCTAAAAAATTGAGCAGCCGTGACTGAATTTTGAACAATCTCTACCTTTCATTATTACTGATTGCGACATTGTTCAACTGTCAAGTCTCGGTCTACGCTTTACCCATTGACCTTTTTTTTATTTCAAGCCACAACATTATAAGCAGTATCAAATGGTGATTGAAAAGATTGATAAGTCTGATAACTATCTTTTTGTGAAGAGGAATATACACTATTAATAATTTAGCTCATATTGTTGAGTATGACCTTTCATTTTGATCAGGGTAGGATTGATGTAACGTAATTCAATATTTGAAATTGTAGACTATTGGGCCGTGTTTAACATGATGTGCAGTATATTTATCTTAAGATATATTTAGTAGCTCTTAACCATAGGCTGTGGTGGAAGATTCTATGCTGCAGTACAGAGGATGATATACCGTAGGGTATCGAGATACTGCGAAGGTTAGAGGTAAAAAATAGAACTGTAAACTTATACAGTATAAGATACGGTTAGTTCATGGTACTCTGACTGGTATAAATAATGTCTACGTGAATACTGTGGTAGTTTCTATATTGGATTAATGATGGTCTCTGTAAAATGTTGTTACTAATAATAATCTAAATATACTGTATGTAAAACATGGTAGAATGCTACTATACTGATGGTAGCTGCGAATGCCATGAAAAGTAGATTATAGGCTGGCAACTTAGGTTATCCTAGTCGTTCTTTCCAGAAGTGTTTCGTAGTTATATTCGGCTGGAGTAGAGTGTGCATAGAGCATTATCTTTGTTTTTAATTTTCTATCAATTTTGGATTTTCGTCATCGGTTATATCACACATGGCGTAGGTGGCCTCAAGAGGTCACATTGGCCCGCAGAATTTCAGGATAGATAGTAAAGACTTTGAAATAAATGGGTAAAATTAAAATTTCAAGGAAGGCATTCCTATTTGCTATAACTGATTGACGTCAGTAAGCTCAACCACGGCTGTGGCTGGGTTCTGTGCTCATAGCGTTCAGAAAAAAGAGTTTTTTCTTTAACTGTCTGACTGTACTGTAAGTACACTGTCCAGCAGATCTCTGCGGTAGGAAGTAGCTATTATGTTGTATGAGGGAATTGCTGCAAGTTCTATTTTTGTATTTTCACCGTGATTTTACCATCGAAAATGATAAAAGTATACATGGCACAGTGGGTGCCAACCTTGTCAAAATATCGTTTAGCAAAGTTGGTGAACATCAAGAATTTGATATGAATTTGCTGTTTTTGTGTTTGCACAACTTGTGAAGTAGCCACCATTTTAAGAATTAACCGTGTGAGTGTACGTCCAAATGTTCATGAAACATTGTTAGAATGATTTATGCTTGTACTGAAATTTAAGCCTCCATGCAAAATTCAATTTTAATTACCATGGCCTTGACTGAATTTAGCTCCGAGTACAGAAGGGGTAAGAAAAAAAAGAAATTTTCAATCCTGTACCTCTATGGCGACTGATCTCAGTAATGCCTTCGATTTCCTTTTAACTACTTGTACTGTACTGTATACTATAGAGTGTAAATCGGCCACGGTAAAGCGTAGTCAACGACTACTATTTCTACTGGTCCACGATACAGAACAGTCATGGTAGGCGACTCTTCACTCTAACCCTCAATTCAACTCTTCTCTTTTTCAAAATAATTTGTTTCACAGTCTGTTTTAAGGAACTTCTAGAAAAGCAAAGCGAAAACAAAATTTTCCAGTACCCAAGTCCATGACCTATAGTAATGTAGCCTTAAAGTCCACATTCAATCAATTTTCGGTATTGCCGTAATATTGGCTTCTACAAGTCATGCGTACTGCCCTATACTGGACGGTGGTGAACAGCAATCACTAAAATTGAAAGCGAGTACTTAACATTGACATGATTTAACAGCAGGTCTTTACTAGTGCTCAATTGATTACTTTTACCCTTTCAACAACAGCAACTGTGGCAGGAGAAAAACATAATGTGAGTTATTTTATTACGTTAGAAGTTATGATAAAGAATGGAATGGTTAATGATGATATTTTATCTTTCTACTGTCATCTTGTATCGTATTTATTTAATATGATGGATGCCATACCAGTGGAGTTGAGCGTATTGCAATTATTGTGTTGACTTGTTAATTCAAAACGTTGCTGCCTGTAAGCATAATCCAATCTTTTCGTACTTTTAGTTGCCAATCGTAGTGACGACAACCGATATAATATCGAATTCAATAAAACACTTTGCAATTTCAAGCCTTAATAGGCCAGGCCTACTTGCTAATGTACGGCATGTGAGTTGGAGTAGTTGATCGAGAATTGCCACCGGCTCCAATAGCGAGCCACATGCAGTAATTGCACCATACTTTGCCCATACGGCTTAGTAGAACAACGGCAACACCTGATAGGACCACGATGACATGAAATTAATTGCTAGTTATTCTTGACTAGACTTGCTGAAAATGATTTAGTGCTACAGAGTTGTCGTATTAACCTATGCGTAAAATACTTTGAGATGTGTACTTACTTATTGGCTATTTGATGCTTTGCTACCAAAATCGGTGTTCTAAAAGTAAGAAGGTACCATACACTCGCATAGCGATTACTGCACTTAGACTCTACTTTGCCTAACCTTATTGATTGGATTGGTCACGTTTTGCAGGATGATATACACAACTTATTTTGCCTGATAAAATCAGAATATTTTTCAACTATATCGTTTTATGATGTATTCTACCCTTTATTCTTTAGTATTAGATTAAAAAAACAGTACGTTGTATATCCGTTTGTTTCGGAATAAATAATTGAATAAATTAATGCTCTGTTCTATACTGTAGTTTTCTGAACATCTATCATTATCGACATACTTCAAAAGTCGATATTATTATTTTACAGTTAGTATTCTCATTGCGTTATTATCATTAGCAGGTGCTGGTAGGTAAAAAGTGAAACAAGGTAGAGATAGTGCTTTAAACTGCTAGAGAAATCACTTGCTGATCTTGATTGCTAAATACTTTAGGCGAAAAAATAAAATGCTACGCGATTAGATTGTTTTCAATGAAACTTTCAACGTGACAGATTCATTTTCCTATAGAAAGTAAATAAAATCTCCATCATGGCTACGTATTATCGTGCTCAATATGCTCCACAACAATACAGTACGATGACTACCATATTAGCTGCATTGCTGTTTGTACCTCTAAAATTTCCCTTTCTGCGATTTTGCGGAATTGGAATATTGACGTAATCTAACATGCTGTATATCCTCAGTCGTTTACACGCGCTAGCCTGAAAGCGGCTACATGCAACGGCAAGGGTAGAGTTGATAAGTTGATCATTCTTTGTGTATGTCTTTTCAAATATTTCGTCTGTATTCTTTAGTTGATCCTTTATTAAGTGCACAATATGTATTGTGATAGCGACCCATATTCACTGTTCCATCTGCGATAATTTATACAGTTAAAGCAATGAAATGCCAATTTAGAGTTTGATATTTTATTTACTGTCTTTCTACTGGCGATGAAAATGCTTGAAAAGAGCAACTGTAAAGTCAGTGGGTATACGTAGCTTATGAAGGTACTGCTGAACGATGCTATAACCAAAAATGATGAAATAGCGATGCTATGAACTTTTATTGTAACAAAGTCGATTAACGAGAGATTAGCAAAGATACGGGATTATATAATAATTATCGTTTATTACCGTTCGCGTGTTCGCATAAATAGTAACAGATACTTACCTCCATGATTTTATTCTTCGATAAAAAATTTATATGCTCTGTCGGTTAAAAATACACGTATTTCAAAACCATTAGATACGTAACGACACAAATTTTCACGTTCGAGCTGAAAAAATCATTATAACGTACATAATCTGATCTTTACTAAATGTTTAAGGTTACTCTCCGTCATGTTACGTTTGTTAGATTAGACTTCTGTTCAGTTCTCTTTCATTCATTGCGCGTTATCATGTTTACTCATACGAAAGCGCTTACTGTATACTTTTTTTTTGCATATTCAGGTCACAAGGCGGATATAGTTCTGATAATATCCAGAAACTCCATGAAGATGTTCATGAGGTAGGGTAGCAAACGTCTGTATACATTTGCAAAGTCTTTCATGAAAAAATTTAGTAACAGCGCTTTATGTGTGTAAGTACTATAAAAAAAACGGCTTCATTGTCCAAGTTAGACTATAAAGCTTGAACATTTTTGTAATCGATGCATTACATGCAACTACATGCTACGATTACAACTGTTTAGAATAATTTCCAGATTTACATTCGATATAAAGCACAAAGTTATGCAAATTAAAGTATTTAAAGTGAGTTTGCATTACTAACGATATCATTCAAACTTATAAGTATGTACGTCAGGTACATGTACGGTACAGCATAACAGTAGATTTTTAATTGGGATCATATCTTGATTTGGATAATCTTTTAGAAATAATTTATACAGAGTATTATCTCTTGTTAAAACTTACCTTGTGCACTGCATGGCGTATATACGTTTGCATTTGTGTCCTGACCGTAATGTCATAACCGAAAGAATTTCTAAAGATTTACGACATTGAATTTTTAATTTTATGATTGTGGCTATCTACATTTTCTACTTTATGGCATTGCAGAAGGTTTAACTGAAAAATAAGCAGTTATGCATTTTACTATATTTACGATCATGTTCCTATAATTATAGGTAACTGGTTTGTTAAAAAAAAATGTCGACAGTGCCATTCAACGAGGACAGCAACTGGATGATATCGAAGATAGGGCTGGTAAGGTTACTGCCAAAGTTTAGAAAATTTTTATAAAACTAATTCTAAAGATTTCAGAGCGTAATCGTCCGCCCACAATTTCGTACTTACAACAGAGTTATGTGTTCAATTTGTAAAAATTTCCTAACTTAATCAGATATACGATTACATAAACATTTGTAAGGATACTCATGAAGTTTATGATAGAGAAACCGCGCTACATTTAATAATTTTTAGAGTTGTATCATTTTTATCATACCTAAGGATTCATGTTTTTCCAAACCGAGCGTGTTTAAAATATAACATAATTGTTTGCAGTTTTGATGTCGATTTAGTATTCGATTATATTCGTTTGAGTATCAATTTCGAACGTCTGCTGTCACAGTGTAGCTTGTAAACTCTTAAAGGAAGGTATAGTATTTAAGAAATTGCTTTTATCAATTTTTTTCTACTGTAATGTACAGTACAACACTTACGATGTACAGATATATTGCACAAAGTTTGTATTTGAAAGCAGAGCAAATGAAAATTGGGCACGACCATACCTAACAGTGTAGCTAATTTATAGAGCAAGAGTGCAAAGTTTTAGATATTGCAAACTACGCTAATAACTTTGATGGAGCATTTTATTATTCCTTTGGGAATAGTCAAGTAGAATTATACAGTTACGGTTTTCTATTTGAGATACAGTTTTTGTATGTAGAGTATTTTTAAATCTAACCAAATCACATCGCTTTAGAAATTTTTCGAAATGATTGATTCTTATCAATAACAATAAATCTTATATAGAGCAATTAAATCAGTCTTCGAGGGAGTTTAGCGATAAAGCTGTACGATTGAAGCGTAAATTGTGGTGGCAAAACACTAAGGTATTAGATTTCTCATGGTAACATGAAATGCAACTTTGTGTCCTTATTTTATCCACTAGGGTGATATTACCAATACTGTATGCAATAAGTCACGAATTCGACAATAGTAGTCCACAAATCAATAGCTTTAATAGTGATATTCAGTGATACCAGTACATCATATATTAAAATCATACTCGTAGAAAGATATTGTTAATCGATAATATTTAAATCGCATTTGCAATTATTCGTTCACTTCGAAGTGTACTTTGTGTGCTAATTCGGTTTCATTATATGTGACTCTATTACTAACCTTTCGCAAGATGATGATTATCATTGGCATAATCGTTGTTGTCATTTTAACTATAATTATTGGTAAGTTAATACAAAACAAGTACTTATCTGTATGTCTGACTTTGTACTTCTGTACTAATTCGGACAGTGTGTAGACTTGAAGTTATGTGAAAGTTCTTATATATTTTTCGTAGTTTTGGCGACTCAACCATGGAAGAAGTAATGCTACTGGTTTATGTATCTGCGGTTTTCATGATGATAGATAGAATCTCGTAAGCCAGACCTCTGTTTTGTACTGTATAACAATTTATGTACTGAATATTCAATGTAGCCAGGTAGTTAGAGGAAAATGATGCAAGCTAAAGCTTTAAATAGCGTCGTCGTCAGGAACTTTTGCTGACTTAAAGTTGTATATCCGCTTAAAGCTTTATGTCAACGTTGTTATATTACTACAAATAGGCTGTGATGCGGTCATTTATAAATTAAACAATTGCAATATTCAATATATATTAAAATGTATGATTAAGTGCTATTGCAATTGAATTGATGAGACCTGCGAAATTTGCAGATTGAATTGATAATGCCAATTCAACAATTAGGAGGTAGATCACCGAACGTTGAGAACAATGTAGCTACAAAAAATTTCAATATCTATCACGGTGTTTATGAGTTGATATTTATTACCGGTAAAGTTGTGAATGTTTGCTTGAATATTTATATTGCTAATTATTGTGTAATTATTGAAGTTTGAAGAATTCGCCTTCTTGTACTGTTTGAATTTTAAAAATGAAGAATAAATTTTTATGCAGTACCATAAGAGTCCAAGGTTATAGCGGCATGGTATGCGTTGATAGTTATGCAACAGCGTATACTGAGTTGACGTCCTATTGGAAGTCATGTAGACTTTCAGATTGTGCAGATCATGGAGGAGTCTGCGTTTAATTTTATCATGCTATCAGCATTTAACTAAGCATACACTCATGCATACGAGTTAAATAAGTGGATGGTTGCTGCCAATCACGATATGGATACTGCATTATACCCCAACTATCGTCATAACGGCTTGGTTGTCCTGGATAATAAATGAGATCTACCGTAGTATTGCACGGAAGAACGAGTATGCTGATACTGGCTACAACAGTATTACACAGGTGATAGACAAAATTAAAACTGCAATGAGAAGTGCAATCAAGAGATCGATTAAATCAGAAAATAGATACTTGACTATCGTGAAAAGATGTAGTATTTTAAATTTATTAATATAGTGAGGCATGTGCTGAATATTCACAACATCCAAAGTCTGTGTGATAGACTGATTTACAATACTCTCTAACAGTATACTATAGTATACCGTTGAGCATGGGATAAATTGAAAATCGTTTGCAATACTAAGATACACGTATATCCATATATATACAAAATAAAACTCGTAATTTAAAATAGAATCCACGAACGGACCACTTGCAAGTTTTTAATTAGATTTAAAAAATCTATTAGCTGTAGCCTTAATCTGATTCATCACTCCAAATTTCTTTTTCATCCGAACTATCATTTCCATCAAACTGATTCATTTTCGTCATGCTATACATTAAGTCATCGTCCAAAACAGTCCACCTATTTTTTGAGCTTGGTATGTCACTTTTAGTAGCATTAGCAGAAGGATCTTCTGCAGAACCACTTTCATGTTTATTTGCTGGTTCCTTAAGCATATCAAGAAATTCGCCTTTGGATAACGAAGATCGAACTGAAAAAGAAATTAAAAAGGATCTACAATGTAGTTGGACATTGCTACGGATACAGAAATCAATTGTATTAATATCACTTTCTCCATAACTTACCTTTATCCTTCTTCGATTCCAAAGAGCCTGTGCTTGCCAGATTTTTCTCTATTATCTTTTGCTGTTTCCGTACTGCATTAAACAATTGCACGACTGCACATGCCATGGACATCGGCATAATTAAATTTAAATTATTAGTTCAGCATAGCGGTTGCCCGTATAAATAAAATGCACAAACAGTATGAAAAAAAAGTACTAGCAATACGTATACGAATATACAGCATATACAGTACAATAACATCAAACAATTGATTGCAGTAAATTCTTAGCCAACCTCCTTTAGTTGCAATTTTCATAAGAGATCTTTCATGTACGGGAGATGCATCTGCTGGAAGCTCATGCCCTAATAATTCAGCATTCTTCTTCTGAATTTTTCTCTGCAACATTAGACAAATTCAATAATATCATTAAATGTCGAGAAATTCAATAATGAGTTGCAAATTTATTGGATACAGCAATACATATTCAATTATACTTATAGGTTCAAAATTGCAAGTGAATTTACACTATAGGAGAGGTAAAGTATGATTTCCTACCATCTTGGAAGCAGTGATTTCGTTTCTTTCAAGTTCTTTCATTTTCCTCTTCTTAACGGAAGAATATTTTGCCAAGATTGGAGTCTAGTAAATAATACACCATACCGAAAATTATCTCCTAGTTCCTTCACTGAACATATTTAGAATTGAGTTAATAGTATAAAATTGGTTATTCAACTACAGTATATAAGATTAGACAGCCGAACCTTTCTCAGGTCTAAAATATAACTGTCATTCGATAATACAATCTATGAATCGACAAGCATAATTGGTGTGTACAGTACAGACCTTTCCAGCAGGAATTTTTTGAAGTAAAATTTTCGCCATAGCGTCAGCCAACCCTAAAGTTTAATAATTAACGCTTAGTTCTAGTTTAGTACAAATCACGAGATAGTGATCAGCAATAAAGTTAAAACACCGTACTATTAATTCACTACACAGTCTATATACAATTGATAATGAAATGCACTATGATTTGTACATAGGATTATCAATCAACAAAACAGCGGTCTGGATGAAACTTTCAACCTATCCTTGGATAATTATGAATTTAACAGTCTATAATTTTAGACCTGACTCTAGTCTCTATACCATTGATAATGGATGCACTATGATTTGTACAGAGAATTATCAATCAACAAAATAGGGGTCTGGATGAAACTTTCAACCTATCCATGATAATTATGAATTTAACATTATGCCGATCTTTCGTAAAGTACCGTTGTACAATACTCGTCAATAGTAAATCAATCATGTTTGAAAACATTATAGCGAAGTCAGCCAAGCAACGTAAACTTTATGTACACAATTCTAACATTGGTTGTATTATACAGCATTGTACAGCTTACAGGCTCGTATAGCCAGCAATGTGGCATAGTACTAATTCATGCCCAGCCATTGATGCAATGAATCGAGCACTAAGATTTCAAAACTGCAGGATTCTACAACATCTATTGGTTTGAGTATATAGTAACGCTGATGTATTGAAGTAAAGTCCTAGCTGGCATCCAATTGAAAGACGTTCATAACGATACCTGGGTGCATTATTTCCAATTCAAATTATTACCATTATTGTCATCATGCTAGATCGAGTGAGTAGAGCTGACTACATGAACTTGATTGAGCGGTCTCTCGTGCAGTTAATGCCAACAATAACGTCGTCTGCATGTGATAGTAGTGTAACTAGTAAAGTGGAATGTACCTTAACATGCATGCATGCTTTCTTTCATTTCCAGCAGTTCTAATTTACTTGTATTGGTGAACATTATCAATTGGTTAAAATAGTATGAAAGATGAGAACTTCCAACATGGAGCTTGGAAGATGTCTATTTCATGGCACACCCTCGTGCAGTAGGAATACAATATTGAAGGCTGCGTTTGAATGAACACTGCTGTACTCTATGCAACATATTATAAACTGTCTACTGTCGTGATCGATCAGGACATCATTCCTGTCATGAAGTTGATTCAAAATGCTTTGCTTGAAGGCACATGAGACCTACCTGCGCTGCCTAAGTTCTCCATCGTTGCACATCAACAATGAATCGCTGTACTCCAACTATATCCACGTCTATCTATCTGCTTCTGGATCTTTCAATTTGCAGTCGATCAATTTTTCACAGCTTGTGCAGTTCTACAACGATGAAAAAGTCCGACTTTTTGCTGATTTTGAATGATAGAATAGTGTATAATGTCGCGTTTGGAATAGAACAGTACAGCGTACAGTACTACCGAGTGCAGTCGATGTCTTATAGTGTACCAAGGGTTTTGTTGGTACTTTATATACAGTACATTCATTTACTTACTCGTACATGAAACACAGCATAGTGTACAGACTACAGACATAGACTAGCACATGTCTGTTGTTGTCGATGATTGGTCCCCATTTACACCAATACTAACACTGTATTAAGACTGTCCGATCTCGTCTACAGCTTCTTCTAGTACACTGTAATCCATGAGGACGCGTTATTATCACACATCGACATCAGTATCACAGCTAATCATAGCCATGGACTACTACATCTACTTGCCATCGCCCAAGATTTTTGAATTCTTCTATCGCCATTTTGCATTTATGATGGTTCCCATTTACACCAATACTACACTGTATTGAGACTGTCCGATCTCGTCTATCGCTTCTTCTAGTACACTGTAATCCATGAGGACGCGTTATTATCACACATCGACATCAGTATCACAGCTAATCATAGCCATGGACTACTATATCTACTTGCCATCGCTCATGATTTTTGAATTCTTCTATCGCCATTTTGCATTCATGATGACCTTATCCGGTCATAGTAGTATGACTAGTGTCCCGACTTGTAGTCATAGCAACCAATCGGATTTCTGATGAGCAAGTTGAGCACCATGCCGGCTGATCATGTCCACTATTATTCGTACATGCTATTTTTACCGTCTCCGTCGGAGCCTTCTGGGCCACCGTCCACTATTGTACAGTGTACAGCACAGTAAAGTAGAGTAGAGACCCTTGGAGAATCGCTACACTACCTAGGGCAATTAGTGTGGACAAAATGACGACAAACGAATAGTGTGGGTTCCTAATTTAGTGTTACCCACATTCAATATGGTATTACCCAAAATGTGCTAACGACCCACACTAAATAGGATAATACCAAAAATGTGCTAACTACCCACCCACACTAATTAGTGTGGCCCATTTGCCGTGGCCAGTGTAGTGAGCACACCTGTAAAGTGTAGTACAATGGGATTCTTAACGCATGTGCATTGTGTATTGTGCTACAGTATACAGTGCTGTATTACAGTACTGTATACTGTGCAGTGTGCACTGTACAGTACAGTACTGTACACCATTACAAACCCAATTGTCACCCCCTGAGAGTACAGTATGTAATGTACTGTACACTGTACAGTACTGTACTGTCTGTACGTACTTACCGTCTGTACGTACTGTACCACAAAAGAGAAAAAAAGAAAAAATAATGACCGCTCTGTTTTGTGCCGTATCATACAATATCTCATACTACGGTTCAGGTTTGATTGATATCAAAGCGGTTCAGGTTCTTCTATAGATCGCAACGGTCTGAACCGAACCCAACCGTTCTCAGGTCTACGGCATTATCTTTGTGCCGTATCATACTGCACAGTGTACAGTGTACAGTACAAAGCGGTCCAAGAAAGAAGCCAAAAGGCCTTTCACAACTGTCCGGCCTACAGTACTCTCTACAGTACAGTACTGTACTATACACATGGTCGAGAAAGGGGCACAGTACTCGTACTGTACCAGGTGTGCTGATGAAAGGACTACAGCAATGTACTGTACGTCAATGCGCTTTTTTTCGATTTCATTTTTCATTTAACTTGCTCTTGCAAGTTGCTCCAATTTTTTCTTCTAGGCGGTCAGTTTCGAAATCTACCGCTATTCTTTCAATTTCAAGGTGGTCAGTGATAGTCAGCCACTGCGATATTCGTATTGGATACCAGCCTAATCGATTGATCACTCTAGGTAAGAAATGCTTGATATCACACTACAGTTTATAAATTGGATAGTTCTTGTTTGATTCACAACTTGATTCGTTTGCACTATCCATTCTTACTGACTGTCAGCAATAAAATGCTCCATTATGGATGCTGCGGTGCGGTTTCTTTTCGCTCTACTCTACCTATAGTGTGTAATACAGCATACTGCAGTAGAGCATCCATACATTATTTCACGACGTGCTTCGACAAATCATAATTTCATTGGATTGCCAAGTCACAATATCATCAACGTTCAATAGTGACAACTGATTGAATAGAGTTAGCTTGCCCTATTAACTCGATCACAGCCGTCTATGCGACATCATGTACTACCATCATTTCAAAAGACACATCAAGTCGGCGCTCAGAAAATCATACCAAATACTGATCCAAATTGTACGATAGAAGACGCACATTTGTATAGTACAGTACAGTACTGTACTTTTTGCAGGCATACTGACTCTCTCTTTGATTTCATGGGTCGATTTCTACCACAAATTATATTCTCATTGCTCTAATTTCTTTCTTTGTGGCATTACTGTACGGATAGGGTAACAGTTGACCCTTGATAAGCATGCAGTACAGTGTCCTTTGACTGTATAGGACATGATTGCTTGGTAGAGACTACTTGAACATCATTGAACTAGACTTTTTAATAGCGGAATTGGTTAAAAAATGAAATTGAATGATGGAACATCCTTGATTGATACCTTGCTAGAAAAAGATTTTTTTGACAATGGGATTGTATAGCGCTGATCGACTGTATTGTACACTGTACAGTACTACGGATGTCTCAATGAGTCCATTTTTTTAACAGTGTCGGATAGTATACGATACGGTACGGTACAGTACTGGACTGACTCAAGAAAACTATGGGGAAAAAAAAAATGGATGCTACTTTGGATACTGCGTAACTGCACTAACAGTGATGGAGTTTTCCTGCATTCATTTCAGTGTAGCGCATCATGCTCATCCCTTTTAATTTCTTACCATTTGAAACATTTCTATGGTGTCAAGTAAATGCATAACTAGTGAAATACTCGTAGAAACTGGTAAAACGTAATTACAGATTAAAAGTCCGCCAGTTTTTTTCGTTGGTATGTACTGTACAGTATTATCCTTTGTATGGGCCATTTTTTTGAGGGGGGGGGGATTGGGAAGGTGATACTTTCAACTGATCATCGCCACTAATTGTAATGAATAAGAATGATTCTGATTTGCTTGTGTGTTGATATCCAGTCATTGGGCTGCTACAACATTGGTTGCTGATATACTATTTCATTAATATGCTATTATGTTTTCATTGCTTTCAATCGTAGCCATCACAATCGACCAGAATTGCCTCATCAAGGTAGTTCTTGACTTAATTTTTGCTAGCGAAAGTGGAACGTCGTAGAAACCCTAATCTCCATCTCAGTGCAAGAAAGGAGGGCTCACCCGAGCTGCAGCCGCAAGGCGCAGCTCAAGGTAATACATCACGCGTTGCTCCGTTTCCTATTAGCAACCATGGATGGGTACCTCCAAGCACTAGAGGTCGTCGAGTGGAACAACCCGTGCTCGATGTAAATTTGATACGCAGACGCATTCAGGGGTATAGCCTTATTTCAATTTGCTTTTAAAGATTAATTAGTTATTTACTATGTTAAACGCAAAATAATAATATTCACCTTCCAACTTATGATTCCGATAGTATTCTGAATAAGCTTACCCCCGACAATTTCGATCGACTGGCCAACCAATTAGTTCATGTCGGGATTAAGAATAAAGAGATTTTAAGTATCGTCATCAAGCTTGTAAGTCGCATCGTCGCAATCTGACTTGTGTTACTGTTTCTCTCGATATGTTATATTGATTTGAAATAGATCTTTGATTTAATTATGATAATAATATTGTATTTTAGATCTATGATAAAGCAACATCAGAAACTAAATATTGCTCCCTGTATGCAAGGCTATGTGGCAGATTATCAGAAGATGCACCGAAATTCGACGAGAAGTCCGATTCCAATGTAAAACTGTTGCGTTTCTTATTTAACCTTTGATCGTGACGTACTGTAGATCTAATTTATAAACGTTATTCCATAGTCATTCCGCAAGCTTCTTCTACATATCTGCGAGAATGAATTCCATAGCAGAACGAAAGCCAGTTCTGGTCAGTATAACTATCTAACCAGTCGTTGTTATATTGATTGCAATTGAAACCATTCACTTACAACAATATCTTTCATTGGTATAGCCTTTGACAGTATGGCAGGCGACTTGACAGCGGAAGAAGAAGAGGCCAGAACGCTTGCTAAGAGGCGTGTACTGGGTAACATCAAATTTATCGGTAATTGTATAGATTGCATCAATTAAAGCGTAAAATATTTAAAAGATGCTGCTGTTGATATCACTATTTACAATATTTACTTACATCAACAGGTGAACTTGGGAAGTTAAAGATTTTAGATAATAAGATTCTCTATGATTGTATTAAAATGGTAAAATCAGCAATTTGGATAAAAACGTCTTTATATTATTTTGCAAAGCTAACACTTGTGTTTAACGTTGTAGTTGGTTGTGAAGGGAAAGCCAGACCTAGTTGAATTAAGTGAACAGTTGGAATGTTTATGCGAATTAATGAAAACTTGTGGGCGACAAATTGACACAGATAAAGCTTCGGTGTGTGTCATTCATTACAAGTCTTTAGGCTTTCTAGTAACACCAAGATACTAAATTCATTTTTTATTCACAGGATTGGATGGATGACTGCTTCAAATACATGGAGAAAAAAATGAAAAATAAAAAGTTACCACCCAGAACAAGATTTATGCTGCAAAATATTATTGAAGTTAGACAGAACAAGGTACTTAAGAGTGCATAATGTTTATGGGATTATTGGCCATTAATTCCTAATTCTAATAATTGCATTCAATTGTAGTGGGTTCCCCGTAAATGTATGACAGAAAATGGCCCCAAAAGTATCAGTGAAATTAGACAAGAAGCAGGAATGAGAGTATGACTATTGTTTATACGAGTAGATGTATTTTGTGTTTGATAGCGTGATAGATGTATTTTGTGTTTGATAGCGACAAGTAGTCTTTTATTCCATGATCGTGTAGTTAACGTAATCGACAAGAACAGATCACGTAGTAATAGAAGCAAAGTATTTGTAGCGCTATTAATAATCCTATTTTAAAAGATTTCAATTTAGCTTCACGATAACGTATTACTATATTCGTATACAAAATTTAACAGCCATCTAGGATACTCCAAAAGGGCCTACACGATGGTCGAGAAAGTAGGCCACAGCCTGACATTTTTAGTCAGAGAAGGACGGATTTTGATCCATATTTCCATATGCATGAGATATATTTCCGTCGTGATCCCGGTCATGGAAATCATGATATTAGTAACATGATGCAAAATCCAAGATTTCATCCATCTGTTGGTACGGTGTTGATATTGATGTAATGAAACCGTGCTTTAATTACTCATTCAAGTCTTCAAATTTTATGCTTTTAGTCGCAGAAAATTTTTATATGGACCCATCCTATCCTGGAGGATTCCCACCGTTTAACAATCCTATGGCTAATCACAATCACAATGCTTTCATGAATGCTCAAAAGCAGAATCAACTACACCGTCCACCACAACCTCAAAGTATGTTAATTACAATTAGTTTAAAACTATTACCCTTACTTATTCTTACATGATTTGACGACTTTTTGCGGTATTGTATCTGAAAATTTTTTTATTATATTACAAAACCAATCTTGACAGTTACTCTTGTTTCCGCAGATGATATTCGCCCTTCGAAACCTCTCCAGAAAGAATTCCGTCTTGAGAATGACGCTAACGTATGTACAGGCAGTATTTCGGTGTATATACATAAAACAACGTTCGATATATTGGTTGCATTCTTACGAATAAATATTTATGTTTATAGATTAGCCTACGTCCTTCAGATAATTCTATGTTGGTGTCACTGGCATCATCGCAGAAAAATCAACGCAAAACCGCTACACAACCAAATAAAGTGGTAACATATAAGGAAAATTATATGATTACTCACTTCTAGTTCACGAACTATTTATTTAGTCTTTCCTCGATAATTTTGAAATTGATTTCTACTCGTTTCTATGCATAACTGATAGGGGCCGCTGATTAGTTTAAGTAAATTGAATTTGACCCCAGAGAAGCCTCGATCCAAAAAAAGTGGCAAATCAGCAGTATTAAGCAGAGAGGACTATCGCAACAAAGTGGTAATTAACAAAGATTCTGTCGCTTTATGGCCTATTTCCTTGTGTAGCTACAATTTTTTTATGTATTTGTGGTATAGGAATCATGTCTAAATGATGAAGCGCTCAACACAGAAGCAAATCTTACCGAGGCGCTAAAAGATTTTCACATAGCGCAGTGAGTTATCTATTGATTGATAATTGAATATTTTAGATGCAATTGATACAACTAAGAAAATTTTACACTGCATGTGACATTAGATACATCGATTTGTTAATATCCTGTATTCTCGAGTATGGTCGAGATAAAGACGGTAAATATACTTCATTGTTATACTGGTTACCTATGTTTATGATATTTGTTGGATACTATAACAATTATCTCAAATTTTTTGCATAGTGGCTGAGCGTAAGCGACTTATGCAATTAGTCGTTCATTTATCTAATGAAGGCTTAATTTCCAAAGAAGATTTCTTCAAAGTAATAGTTTAGCATAAGAATTACGCTGTGTACTTTAAGTACTCCAATTTGCTAACATGTAATTTATGAATGATAGGCAATTAAACAATATTTACAAAATATTCAAAAGAATGATGACGAAGCAAATACAGTCAAGGATAGCGCAGCTGACTATATTGGAGAACTTATGTTTTTAGTAAGTTTTCTAACTTGATATTTTATGCGATTTAACGAAGAATTGTTGTTGTATCTATATTAATGTTATTTTTCCCGGCTTGTAGAAGTGGCTTGGAACATCTGAGAGCTTAAAACAAATCGCTGAAATCACTCATGTTTCGTTTGTTATCGCCATTTTCAAATGGTTGGAGCGCCGAGTGAACAAGGTACATGTATATTTGATCATTTTGATCTTGCATGGTTAATTACTTACAATGATTTTACTATTTGCAGGATTACGTGGTGGAAATCTATGAAGACTCTAAAATTGACCTCCTATTGCTGATACCCGGTTTGTAATTATCATATTTAGAGGGGGATTAAAATAATATCTTAGATATTTAATGTTATACTAATATATGCAGATCCAGATAATCGAACTATGGATCATCTAATGGAGCTGTTACAAGAAAAGGTAATACAGGCAAAAATTTTTTTGTTAGATTGTATCAATATTGATCATCCTGACTTATATTAATTTTGGTTGTACTTGCATTGTAGGATCTCGGATATTTGTATCCTTTGCAAAAAGTAGAGATGGAACTTCTCCAAAAGATCCGAGAAGATCCGAATTCAACTGTTGTCTTTAGGTGGATCAAGGTACGATCACATTACTAAACTGCATCATGTAGCTTTAAAGTTTAATTCAGGAGGGAAAACTTGTTCCCAAATGCGGGTTCTACGTGATTGTAAACAGAATTATAATATTTAGAAAGTTCGAAATGGTATTGTCTTTACTTTGTAAAATTAAAATATCTTTAATTTAAATTTTACCTCAAGACGCTATTTTATTTTTAACTGAATGCGTTTTTTACTACAGCAAACCGTTGACCCTAGTCTCTACACAAGTGATGATTTCGTGCTCGGTTTATCAACGTGGTAAAACATCATATCAATCTTTATTCAGTAACCTTCAATTAGCGATTAACTAAATTGGGCCATGCTTGCTTACATTGTTTTTTAGCATATTGAAATACGTAACTGAAAACAGCACCTTGCCGAAAAATTATGATAAATCTGTTCAACCAGAGAAACCTTTGGTAGAGAAGGAGAAGGAACTTATGCAAGGACTTAAGGTAGTATGATTGTAATGGAACATTTTATGACTTGAATACGGAAAGTATTCAAGTGTATTATGTTTTACGAAAACTTGATGCTTAAATTGTTTCATCTGTCTCAATATATTTTAGGGCTTATTGCATCAATTTGTACATGACAAGATCAATTTGCAGGTTGGATAAATAAATTGTAATATACGGAAGGAGCGAGCATAGTAATGATATACATAAAATGTTATCTTATTTTAGATGATTGTCATCTATGCTCTGCAAGTATTTTGTTACTCGCGTACATTCCCAAAAGGTAAGCTAAAGTCTAAATTGACTGATGGATGTATTTAATGTAATACTTACACAATAGCTGTTGATCACAGTTATGTAATATACGTACTTCTATTAGATCTTATGCAGAGGATGTTCAACATTCTATATGAGGAAGAATTATGCGAGGAAGAAGCCTTTCTGAAATGGAAAGAAGACCTTAACGATAAGTACCCTGGCAAAGGAGAGGCTCTATTTAAAGTAAGTACTGGATGAAAATTATGTACAGAATGAAAATATTTTTGTAAGCAAAATTCTCTTTACGATAGGTAAATCAATGGTTGACATGGCTAGAGACTGCCGAGTCAGAAGATAGCGCATCGGATTCCGATTGACGAAACATCGCACCTTAACTGAAAGCTATTCGTTACGTAGTTTGATTTAGATTTTAATACAATTATTACGGTTTGAATGCGATAATAGGATAAAGTCTCTGTTGCTATTCTGTTTCAACTCCTTACCTTACCTTTGGAATTTCCCTTCTTCATAATTGTTATTCGTGTTGTGATAGCAATTTAACTAATGTCTTGATGCGTATATTTTATTATACTTACATACCGGAAGCTATATTATCCGAAGGCAATAGCGTGCCAATATAGTGATATTGAATAGCCAATGCGCAATTCGACATCAAAAAATTGTCGAATCCATTTAGCTAAATTTGATAAATGCGTTATTTACATGGCAACTCATAATAATGTCAGTTGATGTTCTGTTCATGAATCTTCTATTCTGTATACTTAGTTTAATTCTGTAATTGTTCTATTTCATGATACATGTTTGGTCTTACATTTCCTGCAAAAATGTCTGTAAAAATTTTCCTTAACTCATCTCGTTGACTATTTATACCTTAGTAGTATCGTGTATACACCACATATAAACAGCGACATTAGTCTATCTTTAAGGCAACATTAACCAGTGATAATTTGTTTCGTCCTCAGACTACTAATCCTAATCTGATTACCATGAATAAATGGAATTATACGACTTTCTCGACTTGACCAGGGGTGATTACAACATTTATCGTGAAATAAATTATCTTGCTAGTAGCTAATTCTAATTATCTATTTTATGAGTGATGGATTAGTTAGTAGATCGAACTTACGAGCCCGTGGAGCATATCAGTATTACCGAACTATTTCAATATTATATTCAGCTCTAAAAGTTCAGACTAAATTTAAAATCGGACGTGAAATACGTCTGACTAACCCAATTCACCTCCATAAATACACAGGTGATTAAAAATAGAAATATACGAAATAGATAATACTAGATTGCAGCTAACAATGACTCACAAACGGACTGTTTACGGCTTACATCGAATTCTTTATAAGTAGAGGTGCATAGTCACATATTGCATGGACTGATAAGCTATACTATAATCATATACGCGTAGTGCATTACGAATTATGCAACTTTTGAAGAGAAACAGCGATAGCATGGATCTAGGATCCATAAACTAATTATTCAAGTGTGGTCTTGTAATGATAGAAAATGTATCAGACTTTGCCCATCCTGAGATAATGCAAATTATAAACACGCATATGTGATGCTTAAACTAACGAAAGATGCGACAATATTTACTGCACGTACACTAGTTTGGTACTGTTTTATGTTCCATAAAATAGAAATAAAAAATTAAGACTGAAAATATCATTTATTTTTTCAGAAAAATACGGTGTAATACAGGCGTCCGATAGCATTAATGGTTTAATTGAGAGAAGAGTCGCTTGCATGTTGTTTTCCATTTTTATTTCGTTCACCTTTTCAATCCACACTGGTTCTTCAAGTGAATTTTTAGCAATTGAAAGGAACAACTTCATTATAATGATGATGTTGTTAAAAGATTATCATTCAGAATTAAAATCTTTCATAATAACTTGCCTACTATAATAACTTCATCTATATATGCCCATTTAAAAGATGCTAGCGAAGATAATTCCCATCTATTATTTAATTATGTCGTCATACCTAGACTAAAAAATTCTAGCAAAAGATAAACCATCAAGTACTTGAACATCAAAGAATTAACATTTGCAAAGAAATTTAATTTTTGAATAGTTGGCTATGCCAACTACGTACATCTAAGACTTGAATTTACTAAATAAGTAATAGATGCTTTCTTTTATCTAAATTTCGGTATACTGGTTAAACTAAGAATTTTTCACATTAAAAGACAAATAGTAATGGATCAGCTGAAATACGCTTACATTAACTTCTTTGCATACTGATATGGCTCACTCATTAGACATAGTATGTATAAACAGGAATATTTTTGATTAAACGAAATTGTTATAATTTAAATAGATTGTAGTCTAAATTTGAAATTTCTTTTGGTCTATAATTATTTTCTCTCCCACAGATTTATTACGGTCGTAATTTCTGTTAATGAAGTAAGGGGTTATAGAGTTCATTCACTACAATTACTTCTTCTTTATAATGATCATTTTATGAAAACGAAATTTATTTACTAATCATGGGCTATTGTAAACTGGAACTATTCTAGTAATGATGGAAAGATAAACCAATTAGTGCACAAAGGCAATAAGAAATGGAGGCTATTCTGTATTCATATTATCGGCAAAAAATAATAATAAATAAATTGAGATGGCTACAAATTTTAGCAATTAAGATAAAAACCATAGTATATTATTTATCTATCCCATGCAATCTTGAAGATTTTTTTCAAGATTCTAATTGATATACAGTCGATCACATTTAGCTAAAAGCCATTATCGCATTTTCGGATGTTTAGTTGTTTGTTACAGATGACTACCGGTCTATTAAAAGTAGATCTTATTTACAATTGATCCTAGTGTAGGTGTGTATTTTCGACAACTGAACTAGTAGTATGACTAATTATTCCCATAATTCATTTATGATAAATTTTTTGCTATTACAGCTTATCGGATTCATTGCTTATACTACCTACAACTATTGGTCTCAGTATTACTAACTGACATATATTAAGGCTTTAATCAAATTGCTATCATTTTAAATCTTACCCTTTGGCGGTAATACGGCGTCGCAATTCAAACATTTTTACATATAATATACTTGCTGTGCAAAAGCAGCAACCCCAGCGAAATTGAGTATTTATTCAGCAGATTTGCATAATAGCGATAGTAAAAATAAGTCCATACAAAAATTATGATAAGATTATGCGAAAGTAAGGCAGGTAGAAATAGAAATAAGAATGTGACTGATTATAATGCAGAAATATCTAAGAAAGGGTCATAAATTATCAGTATCCGGATTTGCAAGTTATAAGAATAAGTCATAGAAACCATGGTACAAAAGCAAGCTAATATAATAGGAATATTAGAAAATGGGAAGGAGAATTCTGTGAGATAAATGTCACATTAAATTCGAGTACGGTATGTGAGGGAACTTAAGCTTTAAAATATCGACGAAGTCACGGGAAAAGTCTCCCACCTTCATGAAAATATCTTTATCTTTTCACTGTAATTTTCGATTCTAATATTTCTGTATGTCTTTATCAAATTAATTAAGTAAATAATTCCTTTTATAGCTTGTTGCCTGATATATTTATAATAAACTTACCGATTTCTGCCCTCGCGATATTATAGCATTCACAATATAACTAAATAATATCGAGATAAAATGATTCTCATGTGTAATGAAATGAAAAGTGTAGAGATCAAGCTACGAAACTTTAACAAACTTTGATTCTACTTTCGTTGCACTCCGGTCGACTTAACGCTAATACTTTGACACCAAATAAAATTTGGGGAAATAACCGAATAACAATTTATTTCAAAACAAAAATGGAGAGAAGTATAAACCGAACAACCTTACAAATACTTAGCTTTAAGTATTATTAAAATAAATGACAGACTTAAAAACTGTCAACGACCAAACAACCTTTCAAAAAGAAGAACGTTTTAACTTACGACAATTCGACCCCGAAGGCCTTTTAAATTCAACAAGTTCTTCAAATAAAATCTTCTTCTACTCTCTCTCTAAATTTTCTAATTGCACTATCATTTATAAGTAATCGCGGCTTCGTAGAGCCGTCAGAGGTATTTAAAACTAAACATTTGCTAACCAATCGCTCTTAAGATCCGTTTTAGAAAACTACTTTGCACCATTTAAGAAAACAAAAATCATTCAAAGTTCAGACACAATTTACCCTACGATTCCCTTACAAAACACTATAAAAGTAACAAGCTAACTATAAAAATACATCAAACTTCATTTCTAACATAATTTCTATCATTAATACACTATAAAAGTTTAAAAATCAACCTTTAAACATCAAGATTTAGTCATGAAAACAACATTCTAACTACCTAACAATCAACACAACCTCTGCCAATTTCCATCTTATTTTCTATTTTCCTCACTAAATCTCCTAATGTGACTTNC